GCTGCTGCTGCTGCTGCTATTGCAGCAATCGCTGCTGCCTCTGCCGCCGCTGGCCCCAACCCAGCCCATACCGCTGCCGCAGCTGCTGCCAAGATCCATGACCTGGGACCCTGATGTGTGGCGGGGAGGGAGCCAAGTGCCCGCGCGCAAGAAATAGCACGCTGCACCTCTAGGGTAAAGCAGAGTGGAGGACCCAGGTTTATCAACAGGAACTCAGCGCTGCCTAGGTAGCAGTTAGCTTCCAACACGGCATCTGCAACTGCAGCGGCAGCAGCAGTTATGGCGGCTCAACACCCTCCCCCTTGTGTGTGTGCGGATCTCCTCCCCTAAATTCAACCACTTCCGATTCCACTGCCAACCCAATGCTCAGCATGGATTGACCCCTTACTGCCATCCGTACACTTCCCCTATTAGTTCTATACCATGCACTTAGACCAAAAGTAAAATTTTAAAAAGTGAAATTTCCATTTGTTTTTGTTCACATAATGTGGGAAAACAGTTTACTATAATCGAATGATTAAACATGGACAAGAAATCGGATTTACATACAACTCTACCCAATGATCCAAGTAAAAATGAAAATCAGGTTATGAGGTAACTACCTAGAAACCCAGCAATCCAAAGGAGCAATGAGGAGTGATTTGGCAGCAACCCCTTAAATATCGAAGATATAGCTAAACCAGTACTTGGGAAATACAACTTAACACAACTCAAGTTGGAATTCAGGTGTTTTTTGTTTTCAATTTCTATATTTTCAGTGGAAAAAGTCCTAGTTTTGCTGAGGTCTTCGACTGCACAACATGAAGTAGCATTTGTTTAGTTTTTTCAATTAAGCATCAGGTTGTTAGCATTGGAGATGAAGGTGGAGGAATTCCAAGAAAATCTTTGTCCCAGTGAAGCAGTCCAACCTACACCACTTCTAGTCACCTCTTTATGCAGGTATTTAAACATTTTCTGACCTGCCATGTGTGGAGGATAACAATAAAGAAGCAATAAAGAACACAAGACTCACTTGTATTCTTCCAACCATCCATAGTTAGTTTGAAATTGCTCCCTTTGCCAAACCCTCCCCATAGGCCATAATAGGCCCACGAAGAACTGAGTTTTCTGCCTTAGTCTGTGGGACTAGAATGCTACTTGTTGCAGATGCTGGATTTCCTGGTTTCCTCTAAAAAAAGGAATTTGTGTTATATTGTGCCCTTCTTCATATAGTGGCAAATTCATGGAGTCGTGAGCTTAAGCCTAATCAAACCGATTATGAGCTCTGACATGAACTATACCAATAAGCAGAATCTCCCTCGCATAGAGAGTATGTAACATTTGAGCTAAGGCCCAGAAGAGTTGATTTGTAAATTATTGAAATTTAGATCTTAACTGAAATAGGAAAACAAGAAACAGGGTTAATATAATTTGCCAGTACAAGATTAAGTCATAGACTAGAGTTAGAAATCTAACAAAATAAACCCAAGCAAGAAACTATATTGCAGAAATAAGTAACTGATTGTTAACTTCAGAATTGCATTCTCCAAGCTTTGGGGTAGGAAAAAATGCTTTATTTTTTGACAGGCTTAGGCAATTGATGTTTTCAGACCGTGGCTGTCACTATATTTACTAGCCCTGCACTGTTCCCAAATCATTAGATAACAGAATATTTTAGTCTTCTGGGTTATTGGTAATGGTATTATTTGGCTATGGTATTATTTACCATAGCATAAAGAGAATGAGAACACTTGGACATAATAAGAACTGTAGGACAGGTGCAGAGATCCTTGGCTATCCTCATGTGCTAGAGCCTTTTTGGGGCATTCTCTGAACCTAGAACAGACTTATTAAGATGTCTTGGGAGGAACCTATCAAAGCTTAGGCAGTTGTGTTCACATAAGGTACGCCATGCAAGTAATAACAAGGGAGCAGGACAGACCTGAGATTTTTCCTTTGCTTCGGTTAATTGCAGTGGTCATGGATATGTTGGCATAATTGCTATGTACTGGTGTCTTTGTTACAGAGCAGAGAATGCTCCACCTTTAAAGCCCTCAAAGGAGTACTATGTGGATGTCCTCTGTTCCTCATCCTGAGAGTTCAGAAGGAGAAAGCTATTGATAAGTGTGTACCCACAAAGGTTGACTCTGGACAAAACTTTTGGATGGAGCACATAGCTTCAGTGTCTCTGTCTATAATTGTGAAAGAGTTCATCAGTGTGGTAGTTGCATAATCTGTTGTCAACTTGAGACTATTAAAAGTGAACGGGTGGAGTTTAACCTGTCAAGCAGATCGCAGCTTGATTACCTCATTTGGAGGTGCTAAGGAGATAAATAGTTCGCTGGTGGCAGGACACACATTCTCTCCCTGAGAGACATTCTTGTTGACAAGCCACATAGAGCTAAGCTGATGGTAGCGAGGGCCCTGACTCCACAAGACTTTCCACCTACTGGCCTGTGATCTTCCTGCATTCAGCATTATTTCATGGCTGTGTGAGTCTGAAGAAGAATTTATAGACTGGTATTGGACATATGGGCTAATATTGGACTTATGGGCTTGATCTAGATTTCGCTGGGATGTTTTCTTAATGTACAATTGATCTTTGATATAAAGCTCTTTCTTATACACATATGAATGTCTATGGATTTGTTTCTCTAGTCTACCCAGACTAACACATTATGGTACCTTGGGAGAGGGGTACTAGAGAAACAAATCATAAAGATGGAGAGCCTGTTTGACCCCTGCCTCATGGTAGTTTCTCTTCTTTGGTTAGCCAGAGGTCAGATATGGCCATGAAGTTTACTGGATTGTTTTCTGGAAACAATATGGAAATTTAAAGGATTGATTCCTAGAAACTGTCTTTGGTTAATCCTGTCTGAAGTAGTGAAATGATTGTGATAAATGTGAATCTTGAGTTTGGGTTGCAAAATTGCCTCTTATCAAAGACCGTGCTGATTAGCAAAAATGGCAGACAGAATGTCAAAATGGTTGACAGAAAGCCTGGCACAAGCTTGATGCAGTCAGAAGCATAATCCTATATTTTGTATCAATAGAATAATTTAGATAAGGATTACATAAGTTAGATGAGGATTGAACTTGACTGTTTTAAGAATTGAGTTTAGGATTGGATTCTACTTTGTTTACACTGATTTCTTCTGCTTTGTTACTGTTGATATAATGATTGATAGAAATGATTATTGGGAAGTATGAAAACAGAGAGCTTGTAAGCCCACTTTCCTTAAGCCATTAAAATTTTATCTTTAAATGGGTTTAAGACACTATGTATATTTCTTATACACATATGAGTGTCTGTGAATTTGTTTCGCTAGTCAACCCAGACTGACACAATCAGTAAATGATCAAATGTTCGTCATCAGAAGATCTTTTTTTAAAGCCTGTTGCTTAAGATGATCTTCTTCCTCTTAAAAAAAAAAACCCACATGTTTTAGTGTAATCTATATCACAAGTACATAAAAATCACATAAAGCAAAACTATTGATTACTGACTTATTAGAAGGAAAGCACCCTTATAACTGCTACCCAAGTAAAGAAATTGGACTTCACCAGTAAGTAACCCCTGAAGGTCTCTCTATGTCCTGTCCCATAACAATTCACTCCTTTGACTCCTAAATGTAAATAAATCGACTCATTGGCATCGAGTCAATTCTAATTCATAGCAACAGTACATAGGGTTTCTGAGACTGTAAATCTTTATCTGAGCAGACACTTCTCTTTTTCTCCCACAGAGTGCCTGGTGGGTTTGGACTGCCAACCTTGTGGTTAGCAGCCCATAATCTAACCAGCATCATCATTAAGGTCCCTGTAAATGTAACTCACTCATTCACTCATGGCTGTTGAGTATATTCTGATTCATAGTGACCTTTTAAGACAGAATAAAACTGACCCTGTGGGTTTCTGAAGCTGTAAATAGTTTTTAAAAGAGTTTTATTGGCACTTCATCCACATGTCATACAATTCAATAATTTGATCATATCAAGAAGAGTTGTACAATCATCACAATTCTAGAACCTTTTCTTCTTCCATTTACTCATTGTTATTCATGTAATTATTTGTATAATTGTAGCAAAAATATACACAACAAAACATTTTCCAATTCAACAACTTTTACATACATAATTCAGTGCCGTTGATTATATTCATGTGGTACAACCAGTATTGATTCCTTTTTCTAAATTATTCCACCACCATTAATATAAACTCAATGCTCCCTAAGAAAACACACTTCCTTTTTCACCCATGGTAACCATTGGTGAGACTTTAAATCTTTACAGGATTAGAAAGCCTTATCTTTCTCCCATGGAGGACCTGGTGGTTTCGAATTGATGACCTTGTGGTTTGCACCCCAACTCATAACCCAGTATGCCAAAGGACCCCCCCTCTAAATGTTACTAGTATCCCATTATTTATAATAATCACCCCCATGATTTAAAAATAGTTTTATTCACACAAATATATATATAAACATAAGCACTACAGCTCAATTTTGCATACTTTATCTGATTGGGCTGGGGAGGAAAGGGTAGGGAGGTGATTCAGGTTACCATGGGATCTAACTTCCTTCTCCCTTTACAAAATGTGCAGGAGCAGAGTTTTTGTATGTTAATAAAGATGGGCCATTTCTTTTTTTTTAAATCCCTTCTTAGATGTTACTAATTTACTTTTAAACTTTTATTATGGATTAGGTGAAGGTTTACAGAAAACACTGTTAGCTTTACATTTAATAAATGATACACATTTCATTTCAACTCATCCATTTCAGTCACCTCAATGAGTCATAGATTTATCCCTCGTTCTCCTTGAAGCTTCTATTTCTATTGTTCTTTCTTTCTTATATCTTCTGCCCTTGGATAAATGCTGCCTTTTGATCATAAGTGGTTGATCATTCTAACACAGGAG